CCACAAGGCAGCACCTGCTTGCAGTCAAGAGAATTCTGAGGTACTTAAAAGGGACAGCAGGGCATGGAATCTGGTACAAGAGACTTAATGAACAAGATCATCTGCTAGGGTACACAGACAGCGACTATGCAGGTGATCTTGAGGACAGGAAAAGTACTAGTGGTTATGTATTCTTTCTTGCAGGAGGAGCCATCTCGTGGTCTTCAAAGAAGCAGCCAGTGGTGACCTTGTCAACCACAGAAGCTGAGTTTGTGGCTGCCTAATATTGTGCTTCTCAGTGTGTGTGGCTTCGAAGGGTTCTTGAGCAGATGAATTGGAGGGAATGTGTAAAGGGGGCAACAAGAATTATGTGTGATAATAGCTCGGCTATTAAACTTTCGAAGAATCCAGTGCTGCATGGTAGGAGTAAGCACATAGATGTTAGATTTCACTTTCTAAGGGAGCTTGCAAGAGAAGGAGTGATCGAGCTGCATCACTGTGGAACCATTGATCAAGTAGCTGATATTATGACTAAGCCACTCAAGTTTGACTCTTTTCTGCTCCTGCGAAGTCACCTTGGAGTTCATGATGGTGCTGAATTGAAATTGAACTGAAGCTTGTGAGATGCTTCAGTTCAGGGGAGGATGTTGAAGATGCTGAATCTGGATTGGTGCTGAAGTCCTAAGTGCAGCAGAGGTTCTTGGCGCGAAGACTAACTGAGTTAAGATTTAAGTTTGAATTAGTACTGTGTCGTATTGGCAAGGCTGTGTCATGTTGTCAATACTGTGTCGTGTTGGTTAATTTGTGTGTTGATCCTTTTGTATAGTTTGTAGACAGTCTGATCCTGTTCGTAGTTTGAGTCTGCTGGGTTTGAGTCAGTTAAGAGTAGTGGTAGCTGTGAGATCATGGGAAAGTGGATTGATGCCAAACTGTCTAGGCACAACTGTCATGTGTATATATTCTCGTTTGATCAATAATATAAACTGTCAGTTTGCATTCCATTGGATTCAACGTAAAATCCTAACAATAATATTAGTAATAATTAAGATAAAACACCGATTTCCTTTAGAAATCATGCTACTATCCGGACTTTTTGAAGGGATTGAAAAACTGAACAGAACCAAACAAACAAGCGAAACAAAATGAAAACAAGCAAAGGAAATGGGCAACGGAGGGCCACTGCCGGCAGTAAAGGAGTAGTCGGCGGTAGCCCCTAATGAGAGCCGGAAGATGAGACTCTAAGAACTAGAGAGAGGTCGGAGAAAAGGAATTTTAGAGAGAAAGGAAAAAAAGATTCCACTTACTTACTAGTTACTACATCTACATGCCAATGCTCATTTCAAGTGGGTTTAGTACTTGAAGCAATCGGTTACCACGATTGCAAATGAAGTGAAAATGTCTAGCATTTAACTACTCACCAAAATTTGGAATCATTCATTCTATGACACGAAAGTATAGTCCTTTCCGATTGCTTTTATTTAGTATCCGTTCTTGTTGCGTGATGAGATTAACATTATAGTGTTGTTTATTGACTAATTCACATATTAGTTTGGTGGTTTTGTTTCTATTTAGTTTTTTTGGCGGCATGTCATAATAATAATAATAATGACAGGCCCTTCAGCATGACTCTTTTCCCTGTCGGGGTGTTCAAACGGTGTAGTTATCCTGGTAACCATATCAATCGGTAGCATTCGGTTAATTTAGTTTGATTAATTAGAATAATTGGTTTGGTTTGGTTAGATAGTGTTAGAATATGACTTAAATTTGTGTTTGTTTGTGTTGATCTTGATTATCAATTGTACGCTTCTGTTCTGACAAGTGGTATCGGAACCTGATTGGTCGGCTGGGCAATCGGCAAGGAATCGTGGTGACTGCCACCGTACGTCCTACTGTATCAGGAGGTAGTCTTAGATTTGGGTTGGCGGAGAAGCCCTTCAGTTTGTTTCCTCCAATTTGGTTTGCGACGACGGACAACAGACTCTTGTCTTTTGTCCTAATTCGAAGTGTTGTCGGGTCGAGGAAAGTTGGATTTGTGGCTTTGGTGATAATTATCATAAGCCAATTTGAATTTGGCGATTTGGTGGAGAGAGTAATTGGAATTGGAAGTTTGGCGCAGCTTGGAATTATTAATTTGTAGTGTGCTCGGTCAGCAAATTCTAGGATCATGCACATTAGCAATTTGGAGTGGAATCAAGTCTTGGAGCCAATTGTTTTAGCTAATCTCGTGTTACTTGTTTGGTGGTGAATGGTGATTTGGAATTGGACGACGAAGTTCACCTGATCATCGGTTTGGAATTTTTCGTTATTTGGTTTGTTTTGGAATTACTTGGTTTTATTTCTTGAGATGAAATTTTTGGGATTTGGCATTCTTCGCGGAGAGTTGGAAAATCAATTGGATTTATGTTCGATAATAGCTTGTGATTTGGCAAAAAATTTGTTTGTTATTCTTCGGTGGTGGTTAGGATTTTCAACCATCAAGGATGTTTGTTCTGGATTTAAAGATTGAGAAGTCGATTTGGAGCTGCAGGTTTGGAGTTGGAAGTAAATCTGATGTTGGTGTTATCGTTGGAAATAACACCAAGTTGGTTATGCATGGAAAGTCTCAACATGGGTTGGACTTGCTGCATGTTTTGATTTGTTGATCTCCCTTGGGGGGCATTTGGAGGCAGGGGAGATTCTGGTACACCTAATTTGGAGGTGTCTGGCTACATCTGTCGACTTTGGTTGCGTCTGGTACATCTGGTATTTAGGAGAGAATTCAAGTCAAGGTGGAGATTGTTAGAATATGACTTGAATTTGATTTGAGTTTGTTTTGTGTTCTGGGCCTATTTTGTTGGGTTTGTGTTTGAGCTTTGTTTTGGCATTTTTCTTGTATGTTTGGAAAAGGTGTTTGGTTTTCTGTTTGGGATTAAGAGAAGAGTTCTATAAATACTCTTCACCACACTAAATTGCAGTAAGGTCAGTCAGGTTAGTTTGTTTGATTTGTCTGTTTCGGAATTTGGTTTGTAAAATGTACTCTCCTCAAATCAGTGAATTTAGTTCTTCCCCTTCATGTGGATTAGCTAGCACACATTGTGTTAGTGAACCACGTTAAATTTGTGTTCCTTTGTGTTGATCTGGATTATCAATTGCACGCTTTTGTTATGACAGATAGCTTATTTGGTTTTGGTGGTTTGGTTTGGTTTCAACACTGCTAACCAATAAAACCAACTAACCAATTTGTCATACACCTAATATACATAATTATTTATACTTCCATGCAACCAACCAAACCAAACCAAACTTTCGTGATTCCCTATTTTATTTTCATGTTCACAACAAGCAAACCATTATGGGTCAAAAATTAATTGGGTCTGCCTAGCTATTTACTAAACCAAAAATTAAATGGGCCCTTTGCATGTATTTATTTTAAGGGGTTTGTTGTAAGCTAACTATATTAGGTTCGCAGATGATGAATGATGTATCAACTCGAATGATGATGATAATGATGGATGGTTAGTATTATTATTGTTGTTTATATATAATGATAGTTTATGATAGTAACAAATATTGTTATGTTTTATTAATTATCCGAATCATTGTTTTCATGTAATGTTATGTTATTTGGTTAATCCGATTAACCAAACCAATTAAACTTTGGTTTGATTAATTTGATTTTTCGTGTTAATTTGGATGGTTTGATTAGGATATTGTATTCCATGCTTAATGAAATTTAGACTTATTTGGTTTGGTAATTACCACGGTAACCGTTTGAACATCCCTACCCCTGCCTGATACTTAAAATTAAACGAGATTGGGCAATGCTCATAGTGTCATACAAGATCCACTAAGTCAAACCTGGATCGGAAACATTGCAAATATGATAACCTATAATGACATCATGACCTCTATTTGTCAGAAAATTGGTTGCCTTCCCTATAAGTATGAGAGATTTTTACCTCCCAGTTTTGATGAAGAAGGCTCTGAAATTGCCTTGTCAAACTGTAGTACCTTTGCCTTGGAAGAGGTTAGGATCTGAATAGCAATTAAAAGATTCTAATTTCCATATTTTAATTCATATTGTTTTATTGGTCTAGAAAAGAGCACTGTTGAAATCGAAACGCACAAACGAAACGAGCAACATAAGAAAACTCGGATTACGAGAGTGGCTGCCGCACCGCAATAGCAATTTCCACGGAGTAAGTGAGTTAGTGATGAGGTTATTTTCAGTTGGGCTTTGGGATTAGTTTGCTTATGTGTTTTGATAATTATGTTATGGATTAAGTAGTGGGTTGTTTAAGCTAGTAGCACTACAAGAAAAAACCCTTTTCTCAACCAAATTATTTCGTCTCTAAAAACAGAAAATTGGTTACTGACACTTTTTCGTGACCAAAACTTTTTGGTAGCAGATTTGGTCGCTATAGCCGCGTTACGAATTCCTACCACAACCAAAATGATGATTGGTTGCGGAAAACAAAGCTATCGCAACCAATTTTGTCAATGGTAAAATTCCATAATTTTTAGTGACCATTTTAATTTGGTTGTCACTGTTCAAAACAATGGTTGAGAAATGTAAATGATTGGTTGCCATAAATACTAATGACAACCAATTTATCAGCTATTAGCAACTAAATTATTTTGGATGCAAAAGAGAATAATGTATTTGTTATATGTGACTATTTAATTTGGTTGTGAAAATTATTTATGCCGACCAATCATGTTATTTTAGACAACTAATTATTTTTGTTATGAAAGCTTAATACAACCATGAGATTTGGTCGTGAAAAACACAAATCTCGACCAATTAAATCATTTTGGCGACCAATTGTTTTAGTTATGAAAGTTTGATACAACCTTAAAATTTGGTTGCAAGAAGTACATATGCCAACCAATCAAATCAATTTGATGACTACCTATTTAAGTTATGGAAGAGTTACAACACCATTAAATTTGGTTGTCAAAAACACAAATACCGACCAAATAAATATGTAATTTTATATGAACAATTTTGTCCATGAGATTTTGGCCATTGAAATGCCACCTGATATAAGGAGAAAGCTAAATTGAATTATAGTAGAAACTTGTCCTAATGCCGACCAAATTATATATAAAAATCACATCACAGAGAACCCAATCTCCTAATAGTGTAATGTATGCAAAAATTAGCATATGGTCGAATTCGACGCCAATATAGAATTTACACTAACCGTTTGATATAACCAAACTACAGCTGGAGGAACGCTACTTGATCTAATGGAATCAGGTTTAATCATTGATAACTGTTTACCACTAGGGGTAGCCTCTGGAGCACGCTCCCTATCTTCCAATTAAACTTCACCGTTCGATTGTCGAGCCTTAGCAGCGGCCAAAGTTGCAGACTTGCAGTGATAGTCGTATCCTCTGCTGCGGATGCTTCAACTAATATTCAACACCTTTGGTCGTTCTCCTGTATACCTAATACCAATGCAAATTCAGTAGGTTGTTCAATTATCAAGGGGCACATTTAATAACAACAACAAGAACACAGACAATTAATAGGAATATCTCACTCGATTCCAATTCAAAATTTGGCAATTCAGGCATGAAAGCAGTAAATCTAAAATGTCAATATCATTACTAGGCAAACCCAATAAGCCGGAGAATCCTCCTAAATACATATCCGGATTTTCACTATTAACTAGCTAACACAAAATGATCAGCTCAAGGAACTTAAATGGGAGAAAAACAGGGGAATAAATAATATACTGGGTATAAACCTTCATGGAGAACCAGAGTAGCATGAATAATTCCCTAAGAACTTAAATGACATCTTCTGATTCTCTTATGCATTGGGAAATAAACTAAACTAAGGTATGATAATCAACATTGGCAACCACAGATTAAGAAATGAAGTAAATCGTGTGAATATTATCATAGTGCCCATAGCTGAAAAGAGTTGAAGCTATAATCGGGTAGAGGCAAGACTTACCCTTCCTGAAAATTGAACTACCCCAGACATGTCTTTCATCCATTTGATATCTGCACAACAAAAAGTAGCAGACTGAGGGATATTTTCTTTGTCATTCAGTATTTCTTGGCAGAGTATTTTAGGAAATCCATAAAGACATGCAAGTGAACACAATTTAACTACAACATGGAGATAAACAATCCATGGATTGAGCGATTTAGACATATCTCTGGTACAACATGAAAGTAAAATCATTGGATCAAACCATTAACTAAATCAGTTGTAGATTAAGGTTAATCAACAATCAAATGGAAGACCCTCATTCACATAAGCATAACAATGAAGTAAGAATCATAACATTGACTTCAATTGATAACTTTTCACTTACCTTACGCAAGGACTAAGGGCGAATTAACCCCGAGATCGAACCTCTGCTCCTCAACACATCACTCCCTGTCATTACACACAACATCGTCTCTAGGCCACTGCCTTCCGCCACCACCTGCCACCGGAAACAATCATTCCTCCGGCTCCAGTACTCGTTCTTCAACAGTGAATCCAGCGGGTACCTGTAAAGCGACACATAGTACATAAACATCCAGACTTCGGGATCCTGTCCTTGGTGATAAATTTGGCAGTTGGTTCTACGTCAACATATATTTATTAACTTGAACAATATGAAACAATCAATAAAGTTAGCTTTATCTAGTTTCTGATTCAAATAGTCTGTTTAAATGGCATGAAACCAACATTTATAAGTTCATTAAAAGTACACAGTACTGCTAAACATCACCATTTAACTTAGATATTGTATCCACCAACATGGGAGGACAAACTTGCCAATATCAGCCAACTAAAAATACTAACGGATCAATCCCAAGAAAGAGAAGTGCATACCTTTGGAAACTAAAGATGGTAAAAGTCCTTTAACTCATCCATGTTCCTATCCATGCTGTCACTCCCATAAGAACATCCAATATTAAGGTAATTAGTTTCACACTGCAGTTATGAGATATACCTAAAATCAGTCACACCTCTACTGCGGTAGCTTGCTTTCTTTACTGGCGAGAGACCTCTCAAAAGAAGGAATCTGGCAGCCAATAACTTCCTTACCTCTGTTGGTACTTTTGTTCATCGAATCCAACTCTCCAAAGAAAATTATCTATGAGATGAACTTCATTGTAACCTCTAATGAAGTACTTCTCCCTTAACCGTTGAAAGCCCAGCCGACCACATGACCTTCTATAACAAAAATAACAAAACCAGCTACAATATCACCAAGCTTTTGAGAGAGAGAGACAAGTAGTCAGAAGGGTGGGTGATGCAGAGAGAGGGAGAGATGAAAATGAATAACCGAAGGCAAAACCATTATACGAAATGCATACCAGCTGTTGTTTATTCATCCCCCTGTTATTGTATAAAAGTTGAATTCATGTGACTTTCACTGGCCCCATCTGATCCCCCACGCAAAGATTCCAAAACTTGTGTCACACTGGGGAAGGGAAGAGAAGGAAGCAAGGTCATATTATCTTACAACGCAAACAGAGTGCCTTGCTTTCTTAGCTAAACACAATTTCAAGAGCGGGGTGAGTTGCAGTATTTCATATTTGCGATCTAGATATATATATTTTTATGAAATTAATTTTCTAAGAATAGAAACATCCATATTTGTTTCCTCTGATTACTACTTACGACTGATATGAGCAAACAAGAAGCCAGATTCAAGAGATTGGTAGATGATCTGAACATCATCCTGAAATCCTTTTGAACTCTTTACAATCCAACAGCAACACAAAAATGATTGCAACCATAAAAATGTCAAGCTTATGCACAGACACAGAACCCCCACCCCACCGCACAAATATAAAATAATGCTTTCATCCGAGACACATTAAGTTGTCTGTCAATTTCAACCAACTGAAAATTGAAGTAATAACCTGCAGCCTGTTGACTATCATCAGAACTTAACAAGAAGGGAAGAGTTAACCTAGCCATGATAGAGATTTGTTGAATTGGTCTACTACTAAATCAACAATAAGCCCTTGCTCCTAGCTGCTCCTAACTACTCTAGTAAGCCAAAACTCAACCAAGTTCTCAATTCCATGCTATGAAGAACAAATTCAAAGCCATTAAGCTAAGCTTATTATCAAGAGGATAGAGAAAGAAGCAATGAGAAGAGACTAGCAGTCATCTAATGCTCTATGAAGATGAACTTCTACAGACAATGGCAAAAAGAAACAACTGAAACAGTGCAACTTAACAATGAAGTAGGAAGTAAGAAGGAACTACTCCTTATACCCTTATGCCTAGGCCATTATACCTCTATCACAAACAAGTTCAGCAGATAGATTTCACTAGTGGAACCTTCCCTTTAGGGCTTATGCCGAAGAACCTAATCAAACCAGCACAACCACATTTCCATCAGTATACATAACAACCAGCCACACATTTCCATACCAAACTAGCACAACCACTATAACTTTATCAAAGCGAGGAGACAGTCCCAAAGTTAAATCCAGAAGACATGATCTACTTGGCCTATGAATTCTGTTAAGCTAGTGCTACAACCAAGAACTAACACCAATGACCGGCCAACTTGAGCAAAGAACAAAGAAAATTTTTAGAAAATTCGAAAACTCTTACCTGATTTCGAGGGCACTGGACGAAGCACTCGACAACCTCCTCGGACCTAGAAGAAGCAGAGAAGGAATTGGCAAGAACTGGAGGTGAGATTATTGGCGATTAGTTCCCACGCGACAAGAAATTTCAGAACCCTAGCTTAGTAAAAAGAGAGATTGGAGAGAAGAAAGAGAAGGCATCACAGTTCCGGCGGCGGCGGCAGCACTCGCGATCAAAATCGCAGCGATACTTGCGAGGGGTTGGACGCCCTGGCTAGGGATTGGAGCGGTATTCGTGCTCAAAGCCGGCGCATTCGTCTTTCGTGTTCTCTCCACGATGCCAGGGACAACCTCGTGCTCCATCGCATCCATGAGTTGCTCAACGGCGGCCGATGACGAGAGGGCCAATCCTGTCGTCGGGGTTCAAGATGATGACGCCTAGAGCTCCATCTCTGGGACGGGGCATGTATGTGACGGATCAAGATGCCGATCGAATTTTAGAACTGCTTTCTATGGAGACTGGAGTAGCAGTTTGCTTCTTCTAATCAGCTACCAAATCTGAGAATGGCAAAGGATCGCGATTCGGAAGATGAGCGATTGATGTGAACGAAGTCAATGGACGAGAAGTGGCGAAGGATCAAAATCGGAACTGAAGAACAAAATTCCGATTCGGACAGAATGGGAATTGAAAAGAAGAGGAGGGTTTGGAGTCGGACTCGCAAGAAGAATGGAGAGAGGATGGGGAAAGAAGCAAAAGGTGAGTTTTTTTTCTAGTAGAATAGGTTTCGTTGGTTTATTCGACATAGTGCCAAATTTTAATGTTAGTTATTTATATAGTACTTAAACTTCTATTAAACACTAAGACAATGACAACCAAATGATTTAGTTGGTGAAAACTTTTCTTGCATTTGCAACCAAATTGTTTAGTTGTCTATGATTGTTTATATTCTTTTTTAAATTCATAACCATTATTATTTGGTCGTAAGAACTAAAATTTCTTATGGTACCAAATCATTTGGTTGGAAAAAACAAAAATCTTTTTGCTACCAAAATTATTTGGTTGGAAATAGTACAAATTATTTTGCTACCAAAATATTTGGTGGCTTTAAGTATTATTTGGTTATCGATACCTTGACTTTAATAGACAACCAAATTTTAAATATTTTAGCTTCCAAAATATAATTGGTTGTATATACTACCCTTTTCGCAACCAATTTCAGTTTGGTTGTAAACTTTTTGGTTGCAAAAACTAGTTTTTGTTGTAGTGTAGGTTTACGTAGCTAATATGTAGTTGCATGGGACAAGTAGTTGTATTTGGTTAGTGGCCATTGGAATAATTAGAAACTGGTTAGCAGACTTCTTGTGTGGCCAAGTCGGCTATGTTAGTAGGGTTAGGGATTAGTTAGGGTTATATAATAGGTTTAATCGCCTATAAATATGTAAGTTCGGCATTAGTTCCGTATCGAATAATAAAACTAAAGGTTTATCGACACCAAGGGCTATAATCAACTCCCGAATCGAGAGCGTCGGTTCATCAATTGGTATATGAGCCTGCGGCTTCTGCAAGATGGAGGGATCGACAATAGAGCGATGTTTGGCCGTGGCAGCTACCACCGAGCGCTTAATGGCTAGATACGATCGCATGGATTCCATGCTCCAGGAGACACTGGTCACCATGCGGGAGCTGTCCGGACGGATGGACAAGATGAACGCCACCTTGCTTATGGTCCTGGCACAGCTGGAGAAGCTCACTCTTCAGCGTGCAGGGAAGGGGATAGTCTCGATCTCTGGCGGTGAGGAGAAGTCCACCGTGGAGCTCTCAGAAAAGCGAAGCGATGACAACGTGGCTCGCATCGACGCCAACGAAATTAGGGCGGCGGAGGATACTGACATCTCCGTAAACAAGATTGGCGGGAAGGAAACAATGCTCATGGGTGATTCTCACCCATGCGAGGTTCTCGCTCAACGATCTAGAAGCGATGGGAAGGAAACAGTGGTCACCACCTCGACGAGGCTCTCATCTTTCGATTCCGAAATTGTAGGAAGGAGGGTTTCAAAGCTGGAGATCAGCCAAAGGAAGCTGTATCAGATGTTTTCAGCAAGAGCTTTCCGGGTTCGGCCCGACGGCCGCCATCAATGCCTCGTCTACAACTTGGACAATTGGATTTGAAACAGTTGGATATGGGAATGCGGCATCCAATGCTTGTATTTTTTAAGAGAATGCCATGCCTAGCTAGCTTTCCTTAGGACAAAGGTGATGGTTATGAAGTTTTTGTGCGTGCCAATGATCTAGCGACATAGTTGGAAATCCCAACAGTTTGGGTTTATAAAATAGCCCATACGAAGAAGAAGGATGGGGGTGGAGCCGCAAGCTGTAAGTTTCTGAAGAGACGGAAGCCTCAACGTCGTCCCAAGAGTTGCGGTTGCTTTCATCGTCGACCACCGCGCTCCGGCATGCACCGAACCTTGGAGACCAAGGTTCTTTGAGGGGAAGGAATGATGAGATAATGGATTGGGATTTGGGGTTAGTACATTAAGTGTTTTGGGTTATTATTTTTATTTATCATGGGTTAATGCGTAAGTTAATTATGTAGTGCATGTGCTAAGTAGGTAATATGATTAGAGGCTAAATAGGAGTCTCCTTAATGTGGTCGAGTCGGCTAGAGTAGTTAGTAGGTTTTCGGGTTAGCTAGGGTTACGTATTAGGTTTAGTCGCCTAATATTGTAACTACGACATTAGTCCAATTTATTAATCAGTCAATAAACAAAATAGGTTTTCGATACTAAGTCGTCTCCCGCTCGTGAGTTACGAGCAAAACCCTTGAATCGTACGCAACGGTGACTATCATCTATGTGAGACTCTCACCCAATGATTGGGAAGAGATGAGAAGGAAATGGTGGGCCGCGCTGGTCACCATCTTGACGAGGCTCTCATCCATCGTAGGGATGGCAATTTCGACCTGACCCGTTTTACCCGACCTGTTTGACCTGTTTTGGGGCGGGGCGGGGCGGGCATGGGTAGTCTTATCGACCCGACCTGCCCTGACCCGCCCCATTCTCGACCCGTTCTTATCTAAATTACATGTAATTTTAGTCAAATAACTTAGGATTTTCCTTTTATTGCATCATATTTTAGCTATAAGAAAGTTGTAAATTAGTGAAAACCTCAATTTCTCCAATAATTTAACTACAATTATCATAATATTGTTTGTTTTCTTAGTCTTATAATAAAAATAACGAATATTTCTAATGTTTTTAATATAAATTGCATACCCATTGGGTCGACCTGCCCCGACCCGCGACCCGTGATCAATTACCCGACCTGGACCCGACCTGCCACGGGGCGGGTCTGGGTACCAAGAAACCCGCCCCGGACCTGCCCCATTGCCATTCCTAATCCATCGGTTCGGAAGTTGGGAGAAGGACGAGCTCGAATCTGGAGCTTTCTCCAAGGAAGGAAACGACCGAGAAGGGGAGATGGGATTGACAGAGGAGAAGATAGGTGATGAGCTAGAAGGGGAGAAAACGGTGACGATGACAAAGGAGCGCGGAGCGGATGTTGGAAGGAAGAGCTTTTCGAGTTTGCTCCAACGACCGCCATCAATGCCCCGTCTACAACTTGGACATTTGGATTTGAAACAAGTGGGTGAGGGGTCCCGGCAGCCATTGCTTGTCCTTTTCTAAGAGCATCTCGTGCCTAGCTTTCCTTAATCTAGTTATCATGCTTAGAGCTCTTCTTGTAAGTATATACTTACACAGGCAGATGGTTGTCCACGTCGCCGAGCCGCAATCGGAGGGTGGTGGAGCAATGGTGCCGAAATGGTTCCACCAATCAAGAAAAGCGGGTCCACTTTTTTCAAATTTCACCCACTTTCTCAAATAAATCCACTTTTTCACTTCTCTCTCCATCATTCTGTCCATTCCTTTCCTCTCTCCAAAAATAAAAAAAGCTTCCTCTTCCCTTTCTCTCCAGATTACAAAACCTTCTCACCACCACAAAACCTCTCCGGCGACGACGACTTTCAAGGCATCGGCGACTGTGGCTTTCACGGTAGCGGCGACAACGACTTTGAGGGCTGCAACGATGACGATTTTGACGGCACCACTACGGTGAAGGCGGATTCGACTACTCTAGCAGTCGCTGAACAAAGAAAAAGAAGGCGACTGACACCGTTGAGGTAGACGTCTTCTCCTTCCGTTGGATTGCATATATTTGATCTAGAGTTTCATGGATTCGACTAGATCCAGGTTTTTCTTTTGCTTTGATATTTTTAATGGGTTTTATGGATTTGTTTTCTGGTTTCATGGAAACCGCTGGATCTGGATTCTTTCTTTTGCTTCGTTATTTTGGATGAGTTTTCTGGATTTGTTTTATGTGGCATGGGATGCTAGTTTTTTGTGGAGTATAAACTTGCCTGGATAGTTTTCTGTTGTATTTGGATGTCAATTCATTGATATTAGTTTTGATCAGTAGTGATATTATTTGAATAACAACATTTGTTTTAATAATGGATAGTTGTTCTTTATGTTTTGGATTGTAGTTCTTTTGATGATGGATAGTGTAATAAAAGCACAGGTTAAGTAGATAGTAGTCAGGACTGTCTAGATAATAGTAGCTTCATGCACATATATTACTCTGAACTTTCTGAATAATAGTTGTTGAATGACTAGATGCTAGTCTAGTAGATAGGGATAATAGTTGTTACATGAGCAAATAATACATTGATATATCAAGCTAATATTTCCTTCATTAATAGATATTGCTTTGGGCTTCCTGGATAACAGTTGCTATATGATTAGATACTACTCTGGGCAGTCTAACAACATTTGAACTATTGCTTTTTTGTTTTTTATAAGGTTGTACTTTTCCGGATTTTAGATTATGGGATTACCAAGTTGGAATGACATTAAATAGTAGTTGTATTGCGGTTTGTTGAAAAAGACTTTGTTTTATTATGGATTTGTCTGAACTAAATATCACAAACAAACATAGATAAACATCCACACAAAATAAATATCCAAACCACCAAGACTAATATTCGTTCACCATAACAAATATACACTAAAGAATATGTCCTTATGCAAAAATATACATTCAAACAAACATAGATAAACATCCACCCAGAATAATATCCAAACTCCATGCAACAATATCCATTCAAGACCAATATAATATCCTATAATGTAAAAACAAATACCCACACCAACCAGTTTAATATCCAACCACAAAAACTAACCATAAACTCTAAACCCTAAACCATAATCACTCACTCTCCTACTATTATTGTTTCATGGGCTGAATTCATGGGCCGTCGGCCTTTGGACCCTCGGCGGGCAGCCCTAACTAAGGTTGCAAACCTTATGTGTTAGGA